AATTAATTGAAAACAGTAGTTTTTTGTGGGAGTAACGGTTAATTAATTGAAAACAGTAGTTTTTTGTGGGAGTAACGGTTAATTAATTGAGAAACAATAGTTGTTTGTGGGAGTAACGGTTAATTAATTGAAAAACAGTAGTTTTTGTGGGAGTAACGATTTGTTTATGCAGACACAAAGTTGTACATGGAAATACAGTTAATTAAGACAATTACTAATTGTCTATGGGAGTAATAACGACTTAATTACTGCGCATTAGGTGTCTTTTACAATAATGTTTAATGATTAAAACACTTAATATTTGTCGGGCCGGTCGTGACTTGGTGGTTAGTGCGCCGAACTATGGAGTTAAAGGTTCGTGTTAAGTGTATAACTGTTTTCGTTTTGAAAAACTTAATTTTAAATGAAAGTGAGATACATAACAAGATACATACATTCTTTAAATTACACAACTGAACGTGTTCTATTAATAGTTTCTGAACAGAGATAGGACATTGAATAACAATTTAAATTACCTAGACACAAGAACAGATTTTTAGTCACGTGACCATGAATAACAAATAACATAGTGTTATAGTTATAATTAAATAGCTAAACTTATGATGGTCAACATAAAAAAAAACACATAGCAATAACTAAAATACAAGGCAGTGAATAGTGGTTTTATATGTGTCCTGTTGTGAATATAGTTTATATTCCCACCCATTATTATACGAGGTCCTAAATCGTATACCATTCCATCTACGAGATATTTTTTCATTCCCGTTCTGTTGTTTGTACCTTTTATTTGTCTGTCCAACATCTGCATGTAACGTAGAGAAGAAGATCGTTTTGTTGTTTGAAAATATTCACACAAAGGTATACGAGGAGTATCTGTACATAGCCATCCATAATTTTGAACCGACAGACTAGAAGGCAGATAGTTAAACCGCCAACTCTTGGGTTACAGTTTTTAGAGCAAAATTTGCATAGAAAATTAAGTAAACTAATTTACATCTTATTCGAAGAACTATTTTTTATTGTTTAAAATGAAGTAAAAATCATCAAATGTAGGGGAAAACTGTTCACCATGCTCAATTTCTCTTGGATTTTAAGTTTGATATTGTTACGTCTCCGTTTGTTAATTAACTTTCCGTAACTTCGTACCGACGAAACTTAAGCGACACAAGTCTTTACTTAATAAAACTGGTTTATTCTTTCCGAATATAACTTAACCGATACACTCAACTTCAACAATCGCGCTAAATAAACGCTATAGCAACGAACGTCAATAATACTCTGACCGCAGATCAATTACTCACTATCTATACACACATTACCACCATCTCCCGCGTCACGTTTTCCCCTCTTATATATACCCGCCTAACCTATATCTAGTAAGAACTAGAACATTCGCCAAAGTACAGGATAATTCTAGCAACGTTGCGTCACTGTAGTCATGTGACTCGCTGATGCAACAATATGATAGTTGTATTGTCTCTGTACGTATACTATTAATTGTATACAGCAGTTGTAACGGTTTCTATCTTTAGGTGGGTTCTTTCTGATTATTCGATAAAATATAATGCCGTGTCCATTCCACGTGATGAACAGAACGCGATTTATATATTTTACTCAACATGATACAAACACCACCGAATCTAAACTCCACAGTATAGATTTAACTTTACAACTCACAATACAAACAACGTCGAACGATCACACTGTTTCAAGAATCTACAATCCTGCGATTCTAGCCTCAC